TTACCTACGACTGTTTGACCGACGGAGTATCAGCGACGGATCAGCGACGGAAAGCACTTTCAGCGACGGATCAGCGAGGGAATTTTCCCTCGCTGATACTCTGCATTTTTGTAGTGATCCCTGGCTTTAAGTTTTGTACTTTTAGTCTTCTAAAACCTTGATGTATAGTGATTCATGTCTAGGGTTTCTTTGAGAATCTCTTATTGAGGTGGTAAGCTTACAACCGAACAACAATATATCTGATATCATACAGACAATTTTATCAATAAAGACAACTTTATTGATGGAAAATCAACCGAACAACCCATAACAATTAATGGTTAAATAAAGCTAGTATTTCAATTATTCTTATTACACCACTTTTACTGATTCATCATGTAAATGTAATGCAACATTCAAGATGGAAATCTAAATCATTTCCCGTATTTCAACGAATATAAATCCTTATACTCATCTGAATAAGAGATGAAACACTGGATGAGGTATGTGAACTTTTCTTGTAATCTCTTCTCCACGACCATCCCAGTTTGAGCAGATATCCAGTCCATGTAATCACCCTATCATTGGAAACACAAGGACTTATCCATATATCAGAATAAATTATATGGAAATTTAAGAACTATACAAAAATACATCAAAAAAACCTTAAATTCAACGGAATGAATGTCGTGTTCCAAAAGCACATTTCCTTTTATTATTCGGTAATATTCTTTGACGTCACACAACATTTCATCCTTTGATGGCAACGATACTTTCCTCGATAATGCTTGTGCTATCCATCGTGATTGACACTCAATTATTGGAAATGTAAGTCCCTAAGGTTGGACAGTTGTTCGTTATTAAGATTTTTCAACCGATTAAAAATCAAATAATAAGTAAATAAAAACGATGTAAAACCTTTTTGGGTAATCCGACGAAAGAGAGCCTTGGAGCAAGTTGTGGGGGGAAAATATGCTTGTATAGAGGTCCAATACCTTCGTCTTCAACACTTATAATACCATTCGTTTTGAGAAATGGAACATGAAATTTATACCTAAAACGCAACATATATATCTCTCATATAAAACAACATGGTGTAAACATTGTATTTTCATACGTGTTTTTCATATATGAAATAATACATGTGAACATGTTTACAATGTTATATGAATTATTGGGTTTGTACCAAAGGGGAATATATATAGTCCTTTTGAAAACTAACATTTATTAACCACAAAAAATTGGTTAAAAGATAAAATCTAACATATACGCACACATATATGGACTAAAGGTTAACACATTGTGTATACTTTCTTAGCAATACGATCATAGTTTGTGAACATGCTTTGAATCAACAAATCTGATATGACTTGTGAACACATTGTAAACACAAAGTAAACTAACAAACATAACACTTAATTTAGAACACCATGTGAACCTCGTGAACGACTCAATAAAGAATTTGTTAAGGTTGTTCACATTGGTTCACCTTGTGACATTCAATTGGGTATTTGTACTTGAAATTTGACATTCCTAAAAAATGCATTATTGTTTGTTTAATACAGAACAATAATTATGTTAGATTAGTGGTTTAGGATGGATCTAACGGGTGTGATGAACTTTAGAGTTCTCAAATGATTAAGTTTATAACATTGAGAACTTATGCATCATGTGTTATTTCATATGATTTTTTTTCATTTAAATACTAGGATCTAGAATATTGACTGACATATTTGTTTTACAAATTTGTTTGTTTTACGTGTATTTGATTCACAATTTGAACCTTTTTGGCTTGTTTATGAAACAAAAGGTACACGCAAAAAAATTTACATTGTGAATGAATACATATGATTATATGAAATAAACACATTGTGAAACAAATATATGTTAATCAATAAATTAAATACTATGCTTAGATAGAAAAAAATCATGGGAAACAAAACCTTAAGGTAGAAGTTCTTATGAATCTCACAAATTTTGTTGTTCTCAAATGATTATGCCCCTATTTATGAGATCTTTAAATCCATCTTAAGACCCTAATTTAGAATAAATCATGTGATCATTAATCCACTTTTTAGAATAAAATCAAATCCCATAAATATATTTATCTTTCTTTTGTCCTCTTATATATCTTGTAATACACACACATACACAATTAAATATGTATACAAAGTGAACATATCGTCAACACAATGAAAACTACTTTAAAAAATTTCGTACTAGCGTGTTTACAATGTATTTACAAGTGGTAGATATACTTTTGTTGCTTTAGTTATTGCTCACAAGCTACAGTAGATCTCACAGATTCAAATTATGTTCACAAATTATAATAATTTTTAAATAAGTATTCACAGTGTATTTACAAATTACAATAGCATTTCTAGAGAAGACAGAGAATTTTTAAATTTATACTCTATTTTATTTTTAACTAATTTTTTGTGGTATAAATTGAATCTCACAATTTAAAAAGTTCTTAAAAGAATGCGCCGATATGTATATATATATATATATATATGTGTGTGTGTGTGTGTGTG